ATATATATATATAGGATATTAAGAATGTAAAAATATAAGCCACAGACTGGAAAAATTATTTGCAAAAGATATACCTGATAAAGGACTGTTATTGGAAATATACAAATAACTCTTAAAACTTAACAATAAGAAAAAGAACTACCCAATAAAAAGTGGATAAAAGATTCAAACAGATACCTCACCAAAGAAAACAGAGGTGGCAAGTAGGTTTATGAAAAGATCCTCCACATCACATGTCACTAGAAAAAATACAAATTAAAACCAAAATAAAATACCACTACATACCTATTAGAATAGTCATAATCCAGAACACTGACAACAAATGCTGATAACGATATGGAGTAATAGAAAATCTCCTTTGCTGGTGAGAAATTATATAGTCACTTTAGAAGATATTTTGGCATTTTCTTTTTTAAATTAATTTTTTATTAATATATGACAGCTGGACGCATTATAATTCTTATTAAACACATAGAGCACAATGTTTCTTATCTCTGGTTATATACAAAATATATTCACACGAATCTGTGTCTTCATACATGTACTTTGGATAATAATGTCCATCACATTCCACCATCATTTCTAACCCCATGCCTCCTCCCTTCCCCTCCAACCCCTCTGCCCTATCTAGAGTTCATCTATCCCTCCCATGCTACCCTTCCCTATCCCACTATGAATCAGCCTCCTTATATCAGAGAAAACATTCAGCATTTGGTTTTTTGGTATTGACTAACTTCACTTAGCATTATCTTCTCCATCCATTTACCTACAAATTCCATGATTTTATTCTCTTTTATTGCTGAGTATTATTCCATTGTGTATATATGCCACATTCTTTTATTCATTCATCTACTGAAGGGCATCTAGGTTGGTTCCACAGTTTAGCTATTGTGAATTGTGCTTCTATAAACACTGATGTGCCTGTGTCCCTGTAGTATGCTGTTTTTAAGTCCTTTGGGTATAGACAGAGGAGAAGGATACCTGGGTCAAATGGTAGTTCTTTTCATTTTCTTACAAAACTAAACATATTTTTAGCATACAGTTCAGCCACCCTGCTCCTGGTGTTTAAATGATTAAATATCCTCCTGCACACGAATATTTACAGCGGCTTTCAAATTGTCAAAACTCAGAAGTAACCAAGATGTTCTTGAGGCAGTGAATGGATAAACAAACTA